ATACATATATATACACACATATATATATATATTTAGGTAAAATATATTCTTATGTATAAGCCTAAGTTTCAATCAATTGCCTGTTATGTCCTATTATCTAGTAACATAACATTACATGACATGATACTGTACATCGAAATACATTTATAGAGGGAGAAAAATAATACAGTACGGTACTGCATTAAAACTGGAGTTTATGTTTTGATGTGAAATAGATACGTATAATAATACTCATAATTACAATCAAAATGTGGTATGTGATCAAAGACCAGGTTAGAAAAATATACTCTACTAGAGTAGAATATTGATAGAATGTGTTGAAAATGAAGTTGCTTCCTTTAGTGTAAGGGGCGTTTATTCGAGAGAGGCTTTTATTCGAAGTGAGGCTTGCATATGCAATACATACAGTATATTTAATATTGAAATAACTAATACAATATTTATGATAACAATATAAATAATAGGGCCTAGTTGTAATAATAACAATTAATAATATTATATTGATGATGATGATATTATAATTATCATAATAATAATAATAATAATTAATGAGTAAACAATAATAATTATGAAATTCAATTTCAAATTCAAGTAAACATTTATATTCCTTTTATTTTACATAACATGATCAAATAATAACAATAATAATAATAATAATAATAATAATAACGATATAATAATCATAATAATAACTAATTAATAAATAGTCCTAGTGCAACTATCAAAAGTATTCTCGTCTTGGCCTATGTCTAGGCTTTTTAAAAGTAGACCCTATCTAGTACTTTACACCTTCACACCTAGCGTAGAGTACACTGTAATTTCATTTTTTATTCAATGCTAGCCTAGGCAATTATTATAAAGGTCTAAAGTACAAGAATAGGTAGACCTAGAATAAATAATAAATGCCTAAAAAGGTCTACTACTCTCTACAATAGCCTATGCTTGCCTAGCCTGGGTTCCAGGCCCTAATTTTGGGTTACTCATTCGTTATTGCACTTAGTGCGCGCCATACCTAATTTAATCGGCGTACCATACTCGATTTTTTTTTTTTCCCGGATTATTCCGTCTCTAAATTAACTTTCTCGTTGGTGGCCTGTCCAGAATGAGAAAAATTATAAAAAATAAGAGACTTGCCACAAGTCTCTTATTTTTTTAATGCTTACCCTACTAGACAAGTTTTTATCTTGGTTTTTATTTGGTTTTTATACACACCACCGATACGCGGCGCCCTACTCCACTGGCCTCTAGAGTTCCTATATAAGCCTCCCATCATGCAATTCGGTTGATTACACGATTTTGGGTTCGCTGCTCATTCTTCTCAGTCGAGTTCTTTGACATGTTACCGAGTGTTGATGACGTCGGACATGCGTTGGCAACAGTCGAAATTGTTGTACTCTAGAAAATTCTGAAAATTTGATCACTTAGTAGGAGTTTTTGGCACGTAGGAATATATCAATGGTTTTCTTTATAAGTTTTGACTAATTGAGACAATAAATTAATCTATTAAATAGGCCGATAGTATATTTCCAACTTTCATCTTCTTTCATTTGTCTATAGCCTAGTTCTACTACTCCTTTTCTGACAATTTGCACCTTTAACACATTCTCATCTAAGTTTTCAAGAAAACCGGCAATGATCATGCCGTCCTGCTATTCTCAATCGACCGATGGCGAACAAGCTAACCACCACCACTAATTTCATCTGCTATTCTGCTGTTATGTAATACTGTACTCACAACATTCTTGTCATGACAAGCCATGCCCTCTGGAGGATTATCTTTTCCGCCGCAGCACCATTCGTAATTTGCGGTCAGTGATGTCCTTATTTAATCGTTTTTCATTCAAAATGTACCTCTTGGATTTAATAAGTTCTCATAAGAACCCCTCGATTTCCATCTATTTCCATAAGCGCCCCCTCAATTTTCACTCTGTTTTTATAAGCACCCCGTTCGAATAAGCGCCCCGTTTGAATAAGCGCCCCTCAAAAAGTGCAAAATATTTTAAGCGCCCGGGCGCTTATTCGCGCGAGTACGTTATTTTCCGTATTGTTGAGCATGCATGTGGGCCGCATTGTCGGCGTTATTAATCAGAGATTATTCGAGGCCGGTAGGTCAAGGAGTGGTTTGGGGGTGTTCCGTTTCCTGTGGGTGACTAGGGTTGTATCTACAGTATTTCATGATGATGTGACTATTTGCTAGCTGGCTGTATAATGAGCCCTAACACTTGAACCAAATCTTAGATCAACCATGAGGAAGATGGAACTAAGCCTTCTGAATGATCTAAAATTCATAGTGTCAATCACCAAGTCAGTTGATCGGATTATACTCTCGCGTATCGATTTCACATGCGACAGATTTCAAGTGGGATGATTTCTACTGATTTTTGCTATCCTCCTTTGGAACTTCAAACGCTTAGAAACAACGCGTCGCTGTGTAACGCGTTCTCTGAACATTGAAACAGTACCATTCACAACAGGAAACAACATTGCACTGTATTCGTAATCGTAACAAGCACTGAAATCACACGACGCAACGTTTGGCCTTCGCTTCCGGGACTGATGTCTATGTGGTAAAATATGGGGAAAAACTCGAAAATTCATTAAAAATGATTAAATGTTTCAACGAATACAAAACAATTTGGTTTTCACTAATATAGACAGTGTTGGCGTAACGCATGCGCTATGATGCGGCAGTCTACAGGGCCCCAACCCTTAGGGGGCCCCAAAAGGGCCCTACTCATAGGCCTATGTTCCTTCATCTAGCACCCAGACCAGGACTTTGGACCCCACCAAATTTGTCAAGAAATTTGAAAATGGAAATAAAAAAAAAATTATAGGGCCTATTCACAATTTTACGTCTGTGAGTGCCATTTCCGGCAATATAGGTCTACGTGCCATAAATCATACATTTTCTAATAGGGCATCACTAGCCCCAACAGGGCAATAGCATAATGTGTCTCTCGAGTTTGGAAATCGATTATCTGACATAGGCCTATATCATATCATATCCAGTGGCGGAACAAAGAGTGGTGTGGGGTGCATGCGGTCGAATTGCAAAATATTGGATTGTATTTTTAATAAATAATAATTGGATTATAAACTGGGGGCGGGGCCGCCTACGGCTCCGGTGGTGGTCCATGGGGGAGGCCCGGTACCTCTGGTGTATCTAATTGATTTTAAGGAATGCAATTAGGCTAACATTTATTTCCACGCTACATTTTAAAAATGCAGTGACTCCGATCCGGAATTCGAAATAGAGGGGCCCCAGGAACTTTTACAGATGAAGTGTAAAGCTCCTCAGCCCCACCATAGTTGGGGCTGAGGTAAGAAAATTTATGATTATGGCACCTTTAGTTGGCCGGAACAGCTCAGGCTTAAATTTGAATATAATTTTATTTTTTCTCTACTTTTAAATTTTGATAGGGAGTGTGGGCCAGATGGGCCCCTTGATTCTGCCACTGAAATACTCATCATAACAAGTTTTTTTCAATTTATCCTGGTAATCATAATCAAGCCCGCTTATATATTTCGTGCAAAATAAAGGGTGCATTTCACGAAGAAAGAAAAATGTATATATGCATGTAGTTTATAAAAATAGTAATATCATTATCATTTTCAGTTATATTATCAATATAATATCTCTTTGTTTTGTATATAAGAGAAAGAAAGAAAAAAAATTAAGAATTTGAGGGAAAATGTATATGTGTACATATTTGATAATGAATGTGATACGTGCATGTATGTGAGTGCTCCCACTCATATACATGCACCAAGGAAAAATAAAGGGTGCATTTCACTAAGAAAAAAGTGTATAGGCCTATGTGCATGTAGTTTTAAAAATAGTAATATCATTATCATTTTTAGTTATATTATCAATATAATATCTCTTTGTTTTGTATATAAGAGAAAGAAAGAAATAAAATTATTAAGAATTTGAGACGTTTACGTTATGTGAGTGCTCCCAAGAAAGAAAAATAAAGGGTATATTTCACTAAGAAAAAAAAATGTATATGTGCATGTAGTTAATTACATTTTGGTCATAA